GATCCTAAGCTTCGCCACATTTAATGCTAAGCCTATTAACACTTGGTTGACACTTGAAACCCTGCGCATGAACAATGCTCCCTAAAGCCCTAAAACCGCTAAAGCCCTGAGCCCCTTAAGAACCCCTGAGCCCACACTCAAGCAGGCGCGCACCAGACGGAGCCAATGTCCAAAAAACTCCCTGCGCGCCGGTACGCGCACCTGCGGCACATGTTCCCTAGCCTGCCCAACACACAACACAACCCAAGCCACTGGCATGGTCTAGGGCCTTTAAGGCTCAGGGCTTACGGTCTTATAAGTGTGCATCTTTGGCTTTTCATTGCTTACTTCTTAGTAGGGTTATGGGTTAAAGCTCAGGGCTTTAGGTCTTAAACGTGTTTCTTATTGGTTTTTCTATGCTCTGATTCTTCTTCCTAATGGTTTAGGGTCTTTAAAGCTCAGGTCTTAAACGTGTTTCTTTTTGGTTTTTCTGTGCTTCTGATGTTTTCTCAATAGGGTTATGGGGTGAATGGGCTTCAAGGCTTAAGGCTTAGGGTTTTAGGGTTTGGTGCTCACACACCATTTGACCTCCATCATCCCTATGGGGCGCGTACCAGCTCCATGGGGAAAGGGCCCTAAACCCTAAACCCGAAACCCCTAACCCACAAACCCCCGGATCCAAGGTATAAGTTTAGCGGCTTGCGAGAGCCTGGTTGCGGGTTGTTCGCTTCGGGACTTGAGAAACTCGGCATGGGATGTTCCGAGACGTTTACCTGGGCTGTTGGGGTGCAGTTAGACGCTTCTATGTTGTGGGGTGCTGTGTGTGCTATTTGTTGGGGATCTGAGGTCTTTTTTATGCTTTTTCGGGCTCAAGAAACCATCGGCCGCACAATGCCGACTCTTCAAGAAAAGCCTTTGCACAGTCTCCCCCCCGGATAGCCGCAGGATACACGCTGACCCCCCAACCCCCCAACCTCGCAAACTCATACACCCCTAATCAAGGCGTCATCCTCAGTACAAGAACCCCCTTAACACCGAGCTGTTTGTGGAAACCCCCGAATTCGAACCCTAAACCCTTACCGTTTAGCCTATAGCCTAAACCCTAATTAAACCCTAAACCCTAAATCCCAAACCCGAAACCCAAAACCCTAAACCTTAAACCTGACCACAAAAACGAACCTCCCCACCCGGTGCGGCCTGGTGCTGCGATGCACCTTGTACCCACCGATGTGAAGGTAGTCATGGGAGTAAACCACCTCATGGTGTGTAGGGGTTAGGGTTTAGGGTTTAGGGTTCAGGGTTTAGGGTTTAGGGTTTAGGGTTTAGGGTTTAGGGTTTAGGGTTTAGGGTTTAGGGTTTAGGGTGTAGGGTGTAGGGTGTAGGGTTTAGGGTGTAGGGTGTAGGGTGTAGGGTTTAAGGTTTAGGGTTTAGGGTGTAGGGTTTAGGGTTTGGGGTTGGGGGTTTATAGGGTTGAGAAGGGGAAGGGGGGGCGGGGCTTGAAAGTAAGGTAAGTTTAGTGTAGAACCCCACAGGCATGTTTTTTTTTGTTAAGAGCCTGATGCACCGGTTGCACGAGAGGGAGGCGGCTGGGTTCTACGCATTCCCCCGCGCGAGGTGACCTCCTCTACCAGCTCTCCATGAATATTTGTTCCCGTGGCATTGAGGAACCTGGGCCATGTCACCCCAAACTCTGAACACTAACAACCCCAGACCAGGGAAACCCGGTAGCCCAAAACCCTATAAACCTTACAAACCCCATAAACCCCACAAACCCACAAAACCCTTAAAGCCCTACGTTTAGAAACCCTAGAAAACCCGCCCTCTAAACCCTATAAAACCATGGAAACCGCGCTGGGTGCGGAACGGTCTGGCCGCTGTTGACGGCATCTCTAAGCAGGATGAGCGGGTCCAAGCGCCTTTTTTTCAGACTTGGGGGGGGGGGGATTCTGGGTTTGGAATGTAGGGCCTTAGTGGCCCTCTATAGGGCTTATGGAGCTAAGGGTTGATATTGTGGGGGTTTAGGGTGTTTAGGCTGTTTAGGGTTTCGGCCTACGGGTTGCATTGTTGGGTCCGGGGTGTAGGGTTTGATAGAAGGGTGCAGGGTCTACGCACCGGCAAACCCCTGATCCGCCTGCCTGGCAAGTCTGGGAACTCTGAACCCCTGAACACGCCGAGCTGTGATGAGGAGGGGTTTGGGTTTAGGGTTTAGGGGTTGAAGCGCCTATAAGGGTCAGTGCGTGGAGTTATGGCTTCTGATGGCTTCAAGGCTTAGATTTTTTGGCTTAAAAAGAATCTCCCATGAGGTCCTTGCCTTTGAGCCCCGTTTGTTAATGGGCTTCGAGGGTTATCAAAACCATACAAGGCCAACACCCTGAACCCTGCACCCTGAACTCCACTGAACCCTTAAACCCTAATCCCTTCGCTTGGTTTCCCCTACAGGCCCTACCCCCCCCCCCCTCCCAACCACCCCCCCACCCCCCCCCCCCCACCCCCCCACCCCCCCCCCCCCACCCCCCCCCACCCCCCCTCCACCCCCCCCACCCCCCCACCCCCCCCACCCCCCCACCCCCCCCCCCCCACCCCCCCCACCCCCCCCCCCCGCCCCCGCCGACTCCACCCAAAACAGTGCCCATAGTCCAGACGTGCACACCTTTCCCATCATAAAAACCTTGTAACTGATCCCTGTTACCTAGTACAAAGGGGGAGCCCTAGTTCTGCGTAGTTCTAAGGGCTGAAAATTTGCTTATGTGGGGACCTTTGCCTGTTGTGTGTGGGGTGCATCAACTCAACCTGGGTTGATCGAGTTTATGGGACTTCGATATAGGGCTGGCATGAGCGGCGCAACTTTAAGGGCTTGAGGGCTTGCAGGCTTACAAGAGTCTTTATCGGGTTTACAAGGTTTTGTAGGGCTTTGGAGGTTTTGGGGTTGAGGGTTTTTGGGGCGTATGGCGCATCCAGGCTTGGTAACCCCAATGCGTTCCAAATCCACAAAGGGGCTTCCCGTCCAGGGAGGGCTTCTCCTGCTTCGGATTCGGATTGTTAGGCTTAGGTTGAAGGGTCAGGTGCTTAGGGTTTAGGGGTCGGGATAGGTTTAGGGTTTAGGGTTTAGGGTTCAGGGTTCAGGGTTCAGGGTTTAGGGTTTAGGGCTTAGGGTTTAGGGTTTAGGGTTCAGGGTTCAGGGTTCAGGGTTCAGGGCTTAGGGCTTAGGGTTCAAGAGGGATCTTTATTCGGCCAGGACTCAACCACCTGCACTCAGGGCTCTACGTGACGTTGGGTCCAGGGTGCGACAGGCCGAGAGGCCCTGCAGTTGCAAACCTTCAACCTCTTGAGCCCTCAACTAAACCCTAAACCCTAAACCCTAAAACCTAAACCCTAAACCCTAAACCCAAAACCCAAAACCCAAAACCCAAAACCCAAAACCCAAAACCCAAAACCCTAAACCCTAAACCCTAATCCCTAAACCCTAAACCCTAACCCTAAACCCTAAACCCTAAACCCTAAACCCTAAACCCTAAACCCTAAACCCTAAACTCTACACCCTAAACCCTAAACCCTAAACCCTAAACCCTAAACCCTAAACCCTAAACCCTAAACCCTAAACACTGAACCCAAACCCTAAACCCTAAACCCTAAGACCCTAAGCCCTATAAACCCTAAACCCTTTAAACCGTTCTAATCCTTCAAGCCCTGCAAGCCCTTCAAGCCCTTCAAAGCCTTCAAACCAGCGAAAAGCAGCCTACCGACCGAATTTGGGTGGCTGGCTATCAACCGGACCACTGAGGGTTTAGGGTTTAGGGTTTCAGGGGTCTCTCTCACTCTCTCTCCCTCCCTCTCACAGAAACGTAGTCTAAGGCTTAGCGGATAAACCCAAAACCTTTTGGGGGCTTATGGGGTTCGAACAGGGTTTAGGGGCAACTCAAGCATCTAAGGTTCAGGGCTTTCCCCTAGGATATCATGACACTCAGCCCTAAACGACTTTAAAGACCCCAAGGTCTTAAGAGGATGTAGGGTTTCGAAGCCGTACTGCTCAGGGTTCAGGGCCTTTGCGATGATGCAGACTTTTGGGAAGCTTCGGGGCTATGGATCGGCTCAAGGTCCTCGTCCATCCAGCACGCGCAATGGCCACGACGAAGCCACGGGGGCGGATGGTATCGGCTCTTGGGCTTTACGTTTTGGAATCTGAGTTGGCTTTCTTTGAGTCGTGCTGAGGTGGGTACGGAGGGGGTGCTCATTCCGGGCTCATAGCTGTAGGTCTAGGGCTGATAGAGCTTTTGGGGTTTAGGGTTCCTGTTGCGTCAGGGTTCAGCTGCTAGAGGACTTGAAAAATTCAACTTTCAGGCTCTTGGGTTTCTAGGGCTTCTTCAGCACTTGAGCTGAGCTTGAGGGTTTTCGGGTTCAAGACCTATAGCTTCTTGGAGATGTACATATATGTCTATATAGGTCTAAATCGACTCAAAAAGGCTTATGTAGGCTTATAGCGTAGGTTCATAGGTTGGGCTAAGAGGTTGAAGGGGCTGAGTGGGAGAGCCGGGCGTTGTGAAAATTGCGAGCTCTGAGCCCAAACGACGCCAAGGAGGAGCGAGGCCCTGCGCATGAGCGACTTAATCCCATACACCCCTCTACACTCCCCACAACAAGGACACCTTAAAAAACACGAATAAGCCTTACCCTAATCCCTATGAGCCCTAAACCATAGATGTGCGCTTGCAGCAAAACCTTTTGGCGGCTTTAGGCTGTGCTCCCCACAAGTGTCCAGAAGTTGATGCCCTTGGCCACTCAATGCCGCACCGCAGCATGCGCCTTTTTCGTTCATACCCGGAAGGTCGAGCGAAGGTCTGCTGGCCTTGGCCCAATGGGCCAACCTCAGCAGCGGGCTTTTGGGGCTTTGTTTTGGGATGCTAAATATGGGGTTTAAGTGTTAGGGCCGGGGTTCGGGTTCGGGCGGGTTTAAGATTTCTAGGGTTTAGGGGTAGGACTTGAGGGCTTCAGGGAAGCCATGGTCAGTGGAGGCACCATCCTCTTCAGCGAAAGATCGGCTTGCTGAAGAGCTCCTGAGCCTTCTTCGCGCGCACCACATCGTAGTACATGTGCTGCAAGGACTTTGCCTGGCAGAAATATGTGGACCGAGGTTCAAGCACACTTCTCATATGCAGAAGGTTGTATACACCTCTCACTCATGTTAAGGACAAGTAGGCAAGCACTCCGCAATGTGGGAAGCATTTATGTGGGTCACGAACCTTAATCGGCACAACTTTCTCCCAATGCAAAGCGGTTGGTTTCGGTTCTCAAGCCCGTTGGGAGCTCTGACTCTCAGACAGGGGGCCGTCAGATACTCTTGCATCAGGAACTGGACTTCGGCGATCTGCTTGCCGCGCTTACCCTCCACCCACAAATTCACCAAGATGTTCGTGCGCTCCTGCAATGAACAAGCGTCAGGGCAAGACGTGCTTTCTCCGCCAAAGCAGAAGGTCAGAAGTGACACCACCCCTCAAAGGACTTCCAGGCTCCGTTGAAGAAACTGACCCGCGACGAATGTTCAGTGCTCCTCATCTGGGAGCTTGTCGTTGGCGAACTTGTTTTTCACCCGCACGATTTCGAAGTGCTCCTTTCGCAGGGCTTAACTTTCGAGCTGAGGCATAGTATACGCGCAGCATGCAATGGGAAACGGTGGACCGCGAATCTCAAGCACCCATGCGTGCATTCTGCGCCATTCCTTGAGCGTGTGGAAGGCAATGGCCAGTGCGAAAGGGTCCGATGCGTAGATGGTGGCCCGCAGGAAATCGCAAACATATCCTCGGGGGCTTTTGGTACAGCTGAAAGCCCGAAAGCAGGAATGGCTGCCATCAGCATGCCGGTCGCGTGCTTGTGGGGCAGCTAACTTCAGACTAGAACTCCAAAACAAGCTTTGCATGGCTCTCTTCGTAGCCAGCGCCGCCGACTGAACAAACATGAACAGACGCCACTTAGCGTGAAATGCTGCTATGCAACCAGCGCTCCACCGAGCAAAACCGACACTCGGGGGAAGCCAACTAGCATTCGCTTTTCAGCCAAGCCTTACTCGGAGGGGAGGGGGGGGGGAGGGGGGGCACCGACATCTCCTAAAATTAGAGAACCCAAGCAGCTTCACGGTGCCCAAAAGCAAAAGGAAACCGATCCCTCATGCACATCCCAACCAGAGGCAAGTGTCGTGCCGATGGTCGCTCCTTCTTCTCTTCATCCTCCCACGAGGGTTCAAGGAGGCTGTGGGTGTCTTGGCAGCCGCAATGGCACTACAGCAATGGCAGTCGCACTAGCTGGCAATACTACACACACTCTGGTGGAACACTTTGCTCGCACGAGAAATGCTGAATGATAGGGCTAAATCCCATACACATATCACATGTATACATAAATATAACAACAAGAAGGCAACAGCACAAGCATCAGCGCATGCAAAGTCCTTCTCATAATCCTCCGTGATCTTTGCCAAGGCCCGCTCCTACAATGGAGGGCTGGAGGAGTGGTGAACTGGCATCCCCAACAACTAATAGCAGGCAGGTAAGCACACCTTGTCACCATGCGATATAGCTCCCTAAACACTAAACCCTAGACCCTAAACCCTAAACCCTAAACCTTAAACCCTAAATAAACCCTAAACCCTAAACCCTAAACCCTATAATAAATAAACATGCTAATAACCCCTGCTGTTTAAGCAGGTGACGCTTGTAAATCTTGTCCTTGCTCTTGATGGGAGCCACCAAAAGCCCCAGGTGTTTGCCGTACTCTGCGCCCGGCTCAGGCTGAAGCTGGTGCAGTGAAGAATCCTGGGTAGGGTTTGGGGTGTAGGGTTTAGGGTTTAGGGTTTAGGGTTTGGGGTTTAGGGTTTAGGGTTTAGGGTTGAGGGTTGAGGGTTAAGGGCTTGGGGTTTGGGGTCTGGGGTTCCGGGTTTGGGGTTTGGGGCTTAGGCTTTTGGTAGGAGCTTCCGGACTTTCTGCGTGGGATAGTCGCGCGATAGATTGGTAGCGCTTCCGGCCCAGAACTCGGATGGCCGAACACAAGCCCTGCTACATAGCACGGTATGTATATGTAAACCCTAAACATCCCTAAACCATAGTTATCATAAGTAAACCCTACAATGACCCCTAGACCCTAGTGCCCCTGGCTCTGGGCTCTGGGCTCTCTGAAACAAATGGAAAGAATGAAAGCACACCAATGGTGCAAATACCGGTGCCTCAGCCATACATGGCTGTTTCAGAACATCGCGGCGGCCCCTCCATGTACCTACCCACCCTTATGAACTTCTTAACCCCAGACTAGCTGCATCTTTTTAGGGGAAAGCTTCCCCAGTCTATGTGGCCAGAGGTGCCAGGACCAGCTTCTCGTCGAACTTTCGAAGATCCGTGCGGTTGATCTCGTTCAGTGCAGTCACCATCTCGCTGAGCTTCCTTGCAAAGAAGGGTGGCGAGAAGTGGCTTCCTCCACCCCCCTAAAACAAAATGTGAAAAAAATGAAATCAATATTGGTAATAATAATAATGACCATATATCATATAATACAATATATAAATAGTATATATACATATATATATATATATATATTTGTTTGTTTATATTAAATATATATGTACATGAGCGAAAACAAGGAAGATACAAAAGGCATCGCCTCTTGAAGTCCGCCCGCAGCCAGCTCGCATAGGCCGACAAGGCATCCACGGCCAACTCCTATGAAGGCAGTCGAAGCTGTCATAAGCTGCCCTCACACCTACAAAACTCGGGGTTTAGGGTTTAGGGTTTAGGGTTTGGGGTTTGGGATTTAGGGTTTAGGGTTTAGGGTTTAGGGTTTATGGTTTAGGGAGAAGCCCTATGAAACCCGAGGCCGTGCCTGGCTGGCGCAGTGGCGCTCTCCCAAGGCCGGCTGCACGGCCTCCCCGGACTGGGAGGGGATCACCTCCAGCTTCGCCATGCGCGCCCCGTCATCTTCAGCCTTTCAACCCGTCTGGGGGCGGATGGCTTGGAATAGTAAGGCTCATCATGAAGGCTTATAAAGTACAATGTAAAGAAGCTTGCAGGAAGCCCTAAGAGCTTTGCAGGGTGTACACGCACGGCTTATAAAAAGGCTTAGAAGATCTTAGAGAAGATATCGAGGATGCAATTACATATATGGGGACAGACCTAAGCCCTGAACCCTACACCCTAAACCCTAAATCCTAAACCCTTAACCCTACGAACCGCAAACCGTCCTGGTAGGCTCTGCGCTGATCTTCGAACCAGCCGGCCAAGCGCTGGGCCTCCTTGGCCGCCAACACTTTCATCTCCTGCCGCTCTTTCTGGGCATTTCCCCAACTAGGTACCCCCCTTTTATACCCCTAATGGAGTAGAATCCCCTTCAAGGGACCTCCCAAAAAGGGTACCCCTGTTTTCGGAAACCCCCATGTATATTCAGGGGCTTCGAATGGGTTTATAGGGCTTGTGGGGTAATGCAAACTTCTGTGCTTCAAGGGCCTTCAACAGCTTCAGCTCAGGCCGCAGGAATCCGCACAAGCCGAGAACTCACGGACCTAACCCAAAGGCCCGGCAAGAAGCGAAGATGCCGCCTGGAAGATTTGATCCGACTTCTCCTGCAACGAGTCCGCGAGGGAACTCTCTCTGTTCAAGCGGACGTGTGACACTACACAAAAGCAGCTGGGCGCAATTCTGCGGCACCACGTACTGTGTACCATGTTGCCCCAGGCGTAGTTTCCCCAAGTAAGAAGAGGGTCCTCGCTCTCGTCATCCAGGGCAGCGACGAGGTCGTTGTGCAGGTCATGGAGCTTGTTGCGGACGGTGGGGTCGTCCAAGCGCTTCTTCAGAGCATCCTCGCGATCTTACAGCTGTTTTTAAAGCCAGCCGGACCTGCTCCTCAGTTTATGGCCTCATGCATCCGCCATGTCCCAGCCCGTGCTATGTCTACAAGGGGAAAGACGCAGGCGTGTGGTGATCGTCAAAGTTCAGGCTCAAGCCAAATGCACCCACCTTCAAGCAACAGCTCCAGAGCCTCTACACTATCAAATTGCTGAAACCAGAATCAAACACACGTTTGACGGTCGAAGGTCAGCTTTGCCTATAAATGGGGCCATTCACGTTCAACAGAAACGCCTATAACTGTTGAAAGGCCTGACGTCTAAAGCCGTAAACATGCAGGACGACGTGGGGTGCACAACGCTGGCGCGCTCTGTGTTTTTGGGTTCTCAGAAGCCCTTCCGCCTTTCCAAGGCTTTCAGCTTTTGGAATTGGGGAAGAAATGGTCCGGTGTGTAGGGCTTATCACCCCTAAACCCTAAACCCTAAACCCTAAACCCTAAACCCTAAACCCCAAACCCTAAACCCTAAACATAGATCTGGCATTGTTGCCAGGCTTCGGCTTGCAGGTCCGAATGTTGGGAGGACTTGGAGTCCACTATGCCACGACATAACTTACATGTTGGCTAGAGGATACTGCGTGATGCTGTCATCTACTTGGTTTCAATTTGCTTCTGCCATACTAGGCTGTGCCATACTAGATTGCATGGTAAACTACTGAACAATGTCCTCCAAAAAATGCTATGATGGTTGATTACGAAACAAGCTTCAGCAGGTGTTTAGGCAGCGTACTGGTCCAAATGTTCCCATGGCTTGCCCATTTTTGGCAAGCCTTACATGCTCCCACAGGGACACTTCACGATGCCATAATCTGTTTTGCTCGTCTTCTTGAACCATACTGCGCTACACTGGGCTATCAAGGACTAAGACGCAAACTTCAAACTACCAAACTACTGCTACGACAAGTACTCGGAACCTGTGCGAACCTGCTGCGCACTCTGGTCTACTGCGAGGCCAACCCTCCCACGAGCTCACGCTGCTCCTGCTTCTCCATCAGCTTGTGCTTGCGGCGCAAGTCTCCAAAGGCCATGAGGCTGTGCCCTCGGCAGCATTGGTCAAGCAGATTCGCTCTTGAGACTGCGAAGGTGACGGCTTGCCTCCGCCACTGACAAACGTGCTCCAACAATGTCGATACACAACCAATCGAGAGGATTCACCGGGCACTGCGAATAGCGGGCAACCCTGGGGTAAGCCTCCTGAAACACGGATCCTGGGTCCAGATCAACAAGCCATCGTGTCTATAGAGAGACCGTAGTGGACCTGGTGCAACACCGACAAAAGCAGTCCAGAGCTGCCGGCTTCGCGCATGCAGGCGAGCGTCGGTTGCGGAGCACGTCGAAGCACACGTATGCTGCACCGCAGCCGGACCAAACGAGGACGAAAACAAAGAAGAACTTCCTCGGAACTTGCATCGGCTTGCTACTCGTATGCGTGGAAGGTTTTCTCACAACACCAACTGTTGGCTCAAATCAGCAATCTCAAACTTGAGCCTCCTGTGAAAAGAGCTTCCTGAAGATCGTCGCATCCGACCACCTAAAGCGCGGCCGAGCCTCATCTTCTCCTCAGGGCTCAGGTACTCCTCTTGGAGCGCCCTGCCCGGCTTTGCTTCCTGCTCCCGCACTGCCGCCTGGATGGTGAACAGCACCTTCCCAAAGGATCCATGTACCTATATAGTATATACTTGGGCCTTAAAGGGGTTCCTATACAGTAGCTTTAGGGCCCAAGTATATACCATACAGGTACATGGATCCTTTGGGCTTGAACCGGCTCCTAAATCGATGGAAAACGCCGTAGGCCCCAAGTAATATCACCCGAAAGCACCGCTTCAGCCTGCACCGATTTGGGTCTGAAGCCCAATGTCCAGCCAAGCCCCGGACCTTCACGGAGGCGGCGATGGCCACGGGCCAACAGCAGCAGCCCAGCAACCAGACGAAGACGTACCGGGAGAGGCCCAGGTCGGTGTAGAGCAACTTCCTCAGAGTTTTTCAACGATGAGTACTTGCAGAACTGTATGCGTGCGCCCAGATCTCGACCACATATGCGCCGTTTCCGTCGTGAACCCTCTCTCGCCGCGCTTAACTCTATAAGCGGCATTCTGGGGTTCCCACAAGAGCTGGACCACGGAGAGCGTGGACACGAGGCAGCCGGCCAGGCACACAGCCGCAAAGTCCCGGTAGTTGAGGTGCATGGCGAAGTCCGGGTTTTCCACCTTGAGCCTGCTGCCACCATTGAAGTGCACGTCCTCTGCGTCGTTGAAGTACGTGAGGCCGGTGATGCTTCCCTTGGCGTTCGAAGCCACAATCCCCAAAGCCTCGGTCATTTTTGAATGCACCGCAGAACGCAAGCTGGCATGGATTCGGCCTCTGGCGATCCAACAAGGACGGGACCCCCTTTTCTTGAGGATTTCGGGTTACGGGTATGAGTATGTGAGCACCACTCGCGTTAGGGTTCAACATCTCTCCACATGGCTCGATGCACAGGCAAGATGCGTTGTCCGTCAGGAAGGCGTCCTCCATTTGGACCTCCGAGTTGGTGAGCACCAACCCCGCAGCAAGGTTGACTGCTCGGAAGTCCCGAGCTTGGAGGCTGGAGGACATCAGCGTCACACCCACACCCCGCTTCTCCTCGCCGAGAATGTCCACCTCAGGGCGCAGTGGGTGGACTGGAAACAAGCGTGCGCATGCTGCCCTCGTTCCCTCACCTCCGTCATCTCGAGGGTAGTGTTTCGAGCAGTGATCGCCATGTTGCAATTTTTGCAGCTCATGCGCGAGACGTTCGTGGCGATGTTGCCGTTCAGCACGAGTGCCGTGCCCAGCATGTCCACCATCTCAACGTCACGGAGCACCGCTGTGCCGCCGCCCACACCGACAGACTGCAAGGCCGCCCCTCCGAGCGTGGCCCTTTTAATGGTGACCTTGTCCATGGACAGTTTCCAGCTCGAGGCGGAGATCTTGACCTCGGCTGGAAGCGTAGCGCACTAGACAAACCCAAGTGACTGAACCACAAGCTCGAGCCCAAGAGAAAGCTGGACGCAGTAAGGCTCGTGCTGCACTCCACACATCACAAAGTGTCACGTTGTTCATGCTGGCCTCGAGCTGCGGCGGACCTGCAAACTGCAGAGACGTGACCAAATCTAGCCTTGTCTTCATTGCCCAAATCGAAATCTAGCTGCCGAAGCATTCAGATCACCTCAGTTCCTGGCCACCCAGGCGGCAGTTAGATGCATAGAAACTATACGGCTGCTTATAACTCGGAAACCAAACTAGCCTGGCTCTTGCGACGGCTTGCGTGCGAACTCAAGAAATGTAGACTGCATCTCCAGGACCGTCACGTCGCGAACGTCCAACCGCAAGCCGTCAACACTATGCACATCCAGGGCGGTCTGCACTGTGGAGCCCTGCAACAGCACCGATGCGTTGTCTGCTTCACGAATCGTCAGGCACGTTCCTCTGCAGTGCGCAAGGTGCGAGTTGCGCACCATCATTGTGGGTGTTACAGCCCGGTTGATCAATCCTGCATGCGAGGGCATCCCACTAATCTGGACTCTGTAGTTGCCGGTGGCTGTGCAATTGTCAAGGCTCGTGTTGCCCTTTGCGAAAAGCCTGGTTGAATTCAGGACTGTGCTAAACACGCTGAGGCCTTCCTCACCCACAACGTGTGCATTGGCAAAATGATCATCTCCAAGCCCCCACCTGGAGCTTAAGTCAAAGTTCAGCCTGGAGTTCCTGACCGCCACCACCTCGCTGATGAAATACCCGCTGCCAGACCCATCTGACTCATCGATAATCAGAGAGGTGTTGCTTCTCAGAAGTCCCGGGGTTCTAAAGGTCCTCACGTTCAGGAGCTGGAGCCCTTTCAAGGTCAGCCGCGCACTGTCCTCCATTTCGGCGATCCAATTCTGGATGATCGATCCCGGCTCGCCCTCCAGCTCCAGGCCCACGAACGGAGGAATGATGAAATCAGGTCCGGAGAAAAGATTGTCATCGAAAGCTTTGTAGCTGGATCCGTAAACCTGGGGGGCCATCGAGCCGGCTGGCATCGCAACGAAAGAGAAAGGGCGGCTGAAAAAAACAATTGCGATGCCTTTTTGGAAAGCCGAGCGGCTCCGGCCGGGAGCTTCACCACGTGCGTGCTGTTTGCTTGGAGGTTCAGGTTCGACAGCAAGGCCGTCAGGTTGATCAGGTCCACTGTAGGCGGGGCCGCCGGCCTCAGCGGCAGCACACTCCACAGATCATCTCCTCAAAAAGAGAGCAAGCCCACCCCCACCCCCACCCCCCTCCCCCGGCAAAAAAAAAAAAAAGCCGAGGCTCTCCGGCGGATCGGGCTGAAGCTCGAAGAGCGCCGAAGTCTCCGGGCTCCGGTGGCCCGCGGCCAATGCGAGGCCGAGGATCCGCAGCAAGCCGCGGAGGCCGACTTGCGGGCCGCCTCTGTGGAGTCGGGGGGGAGGGGGGGGGAGGGGGGGGGGGGGGAGGGCTTATAATATAAATGTTGTGCGGACCGGGTTGGAGCTTTAGGGTTTTGTATTTTCGTGTAAGGGTCTTAGGGGTCTAATGTAGGCGCCTCAATAATTAGACTAGGGTTTTGGGGGTGATCATAATATATAGATAAAGGGACCATGAGATGGAATATTATGAGTAATTGTTCGACCCTATAGTAAGTTGCCTAAAGTTCCAGCGTGTACAGGTTGGGGCTAACAGCGTTTTTGGGGTTTTAGGGAAGCTCAGGGGGTTAAGCGGTTTTTGGAGAACGGAGGACAAGTGGTTTTGGGTTAGGGGCCGAGGGTTGTTACGCATTTTAGGGTCGAGAGATTAAGGGTTGAGGGGTGTAGAATTTTAGGGGTTTCCCTAAACCCTAAACCCTAAAACCCTAAACCCATTATCTCTAGGAGGGTTAGGCCCCATGGAATTGAGCCTATGTTAAATGTGAGTTTAGGGTCTAGGGTTTAGGGGGATGTGTCCCCCTTATACGAACAGTCCGTTAATTTTTCAGGGATGAGAGTACCCCCTATTTATAATCCATAATAAGGACTGCTATTATCAGGGGGAACATCCCAATATAGATAGATCATAAATTCATATCGGGGGCTCCAGCTATGGCTGGTGAAGTTTGGCTTCTGTTAAAGACAGCGTTCTCTGTGCGAAAAGAGCTCATATACAGCGATTTTATAAGGGCTTCAGGGTGGGCATCCCATAAAATGGGACCCCAAATCGAGGAGCAACGTGCCACAAAGACGAGCGGCACATGGAAGCTATACTCTCCAGACGCACGAGCCGGACATGTGAGGGTCCGGCATGGCTGGCACCGGGGTACTCTCCGAGCTGAAGCCGCCGGGGCAAAGCAAATCGGATCGCACTGCGCTCGTGATATGAAGGGGGGAGGATCTCAATCACGGGCCTACATATTTGGTATCCTAAATGCCGTAAAGTTGCGAAAGTAGGATACCTACACTGTACTCTACTTTCGTATCTACTCTGCTGTACGAAAAAACAGACCATCTGTCTGCACAATAAGTGTGTTGACTGTGCGGCCTGCAACAGCATTGCTACAGTGAGAAAGTTTCGGCCAGGCGCAACAAAGCGTCCACTCTTTTGCGATGCAGCGTCAGCTCGTTGCATCCGTGTCTTGCTCGAACCTCCTCGAGCGCTTGCCCAAACACGCACGATGATCAAACATACGCAATTGGGAACGGCAGCTATACTTGATACTGTTGCTGTCGTAAGTACCAACCCTAAACCCTAAACCCTGAACCTAAACCCTAAACCCTAAACCCTAAACCCTGAACCCTGAACCCTAAACCCTAAACCCTAAACCCTAACCCTAAACCCGTTTTCGCAGATCTGGAGGATCCAGGGCGTCCTGTCAGGTTCACCTGTCTTCCGCAGCTACGCCCGGGCTTCCGATTTAGAGACTTGGAGCTTGCGTTAGCAAGCGCTATGAGCCCTGAGCCTTATATGCCCTAAGCCATCCTAAACCCTAAAAACATCTCCCCTTGCTGACTTGGTCGAAGCCAAAAGCCCTTCAGACTAAAATCCTCAAATCCTAAAAGCCCAAAACCCTCAAACCCTATATGGGGGTTAACGAAATAGGGGACCCCCAATATAGATCCCAAAATAGTACGATTCTCTTATCCTAGGGACCCCAACAAGGTACCCCCATTTTCGTAAACCCCCATATGGTCACTTCCCTAAGGGTCTGGTCCCTTTCCGGGGTCCTTAAAATAAGGCGGCCCCTCTTCTTTTTGGTGCCCAAAAAGGGATCAGAATTTGGAGAACTGACCAGATGAGGGTTTCGGACTTGGCGTCGCCGCACCTGTGAGCCCCTCTCAGCTCTAGAGGTCACAAGTGGCGCGGGCTGCAGGCCTCGTGGAAGGGTTTAGGGTTCTAGGCCTTTAGGGCTTTGAGTGAGGGTTCATCGGGCTTAGGGTTTAGAGTTTGAGTCTTCCTGCGTTTCAGATTTTTTTTCTTGTCTGAGTTGGCCCCTTCAAACCCTCGAAAAATCCGCCGAGGCCTCGGGCCGGAGGTGTATAGGTTGTCAGAACAGGCACCCCCCCAAAGCCCTTTTTTCCCACCCCTTTTTTTGGCCTCAAATGGGTACCCCCTCTGGGAAACCGGGTCCGCCAGGACCCGCCCCACCCCCCCCCACCCCCTTCCCCCCCTTCCCCCCCCCCCCCCCCCCCCCCCCCCCTCCCCTCCTCCCCCCACCCCACCTCCCCCCTCCAAGCCGGAACCTTGAGCCCTGAACGAACCCTCAACCCCAAACCCCAAACCATAAACCATAAACCCGGAACCCTCAACCCTCAACCCTCAACCCAACCCTTATTGCTTGGGGTCCAGCGACTTGGGCGCTGCGGAATCACCATGCTCACGCGGATGCGCTGGGCCGGGCCGAGGCGGGTCGCGTAGCGTTAAAATTAATTCTGCAATTAGATCCCCATGAACCCATATGAGGGTAAGTACACAGCATATCCCAAGCTCCCACCTCGGGGCTGCTTTGTTGAACAACGCCCTGGAACCGCAGCGGCCCCCTAAAATGCTTGGAATCTCCCTTCCCTGCAAGCCCACAACTCCAAGACAAGACCCTTTCCGAAGCCCAGAACAAAAACCTTCACGCCCAAAACAAGGGAAGCCACTGAAAGCTCTGCAGGGCTCTTGTTGTAAGCTGTACTCAAACGCTGGGATTTCTCGGATTTGGGTCTAGAAGTTTACAATTTACAGCCCGAGTGGTCGTCATTGCGGCCCTGATGCCCTCCATGGTTGTTTTATACGCGCACAGCAGTGGTTAATACAGCTACACCCCTAAAACCTCTGTATCCCAACAAGGAAGCCTTCAATCCGAAAGTCCCGGAGCCCACAGAAGCCCAACCCCTCAAGCCCTCAAGCCCTCAGTATGCACCCCAAGCCCCCCCCCCCAACCCCCCACCGCCCCACAACAGCAAGCAGCAAGACCCACCCTGTAGGTAGATTAAGGGTTTAGGCTTTGCAAGTGGTTGGGGTATGCTGAAAAGTACGAGTCGTGCAAGCAATACTGGGCGGAGAGTGAGGCAGGGTCTATAAGGCTAGTGGGGGCCCGATTTTTTCAGGACTGAAGGGAGGAGATAGGGAGTTCCAGAATAAGGGTACTTTGTAGCATTCCTGAAAGGGCGACAGGGCTGCTAGAGGGGAATAAAAAGGCCCTAGACATTGTCCTTCAACCCGAACCAAAATGCCTAAACTCTGCAGTCTAGGGGTTTCGGGCTTCCCAAGAGTTGCAATAGGAGGGCTCAGAGAAGATGTAACAGTGGCTTTAGAAGTTTAGGGTTTCGGGTTTGGGGTTTCGGTATTAGGTAGCCCCCAGAAAGAATCAAATTACAATTAAGGGTCTTGGTGCTCCCTACACCCGAAAATCCCTAAGTTTTGGTAAGCCCTAACCGCTATAGGCGATGCATGCTGGACCTTGAGGAATCCCCCATTTTCTCCTGGCACACAGCCTGACGCGCCGACGCGAGCAGGGCCGGACTCGTAGCTCCCAAAGGCTCAGTTTTTGTTCGGCTTTTCGGCCTTCGGGTTTAGGGCTGTTTGTAGGACTGCGAAGGAGGGAGCTAAGTCCACAGTTCACACTTCTCGGGGCCCTTCCCTCCTTCGGAGGGAAGGGCCCTGCGTGAGCAGGAATTTTTCCGAGTCGCCGGGACCCGCATCAAAGCCGCCTTTGGGGCCTACACCCCCCAAGTCTCCTGGGGCCCCCAAGTCCCCTCAACACCAGCTCTACCATCAGCTGAGATCCTTGGGCAGTGCACTTTCTTCCGCAGAGATTTTGAGGGATTTCAGCAGTGAACCCAAACCCAAGCCGCGCTAAAATCCCCCCAAACCCTATACTACCTTCCAGAAAATATGGGTCGCGGACTAGAGCCCGAGACAGGGCTTTTCAGGTTCAGAGCTCAACGCGGTTTGTGCTTTGCTTTGGGGGTTGGGCTTGGGATGTAGGATTCAGCGCTTTGGGCTTGGGGTCTATGGGGCTTCCTATTGTACAACATATGAAGTAGGGTTCCCATTTCTTGTACCGCCAAAAGGACACCAGGTATATACACTCACCAATATGAAAAAGGAAGCTTATATACACTCACCCATAACAGTAATATAAACCTTGTTTCAATATCAAGCCCTGCAAACCCAAAAACCCCTAAACTCCTTAATTCTCTGTCAGGGCCCCCAGGGCTTCTCCACGGGATTTCGATGCATATAAAAATCAAATCGCAACAGACCTGTGGCGATCTGTCTCCCGCGCCGCCGGGAACCACGAGCTTGGCGCCCGACGTGAGGGCTGCAGGGGTTGCAGTTTGTAGGGTCTAGGGTCTAGGGTTTAGGGTTTCAGGGTTTCAGGGTTTCAGGGTTTAGGGTTTAGGGTCTA